CCCCCAAATGCTCGGCCCCCGGCTTCCCCGATTCAGTCGCTGGTCAGTTTTAGCAGTGGCTGAATAGGGGAGGCTGGGGGCAGAGCAGCTCCAATGGTCCAGCTGCCCGGAGCACTTCCGGGTTCCTGATGGTGCCGGACCATCAGGAGTGCCGTACCGTCGGATGCCGGACCATCGGAGTTTTACTGTATTTTGAAATATAACAGGCTCACTATTCCGGTATATCTCTTTCCACAAGGAGTAAGCGACATTTTGGAACAGATTTATTTCAAAATGAGTGCTGTGTAGACAGTGCCACACTTTGCGTACATCTAGACTACATGCCTCTGTTGTCAGAGGCATGTAAATTAGGCTACCAGGCATAGGAAAATGAAGCGACGATTTAAATAATCTCCGCTTCATTTAAATTTACATGACTGGGCAGCCATGTAAATTTAAATGAAGCGGCGATTATTTAAATCGCCGCTTCATTTTCCTATGCCTGGTAGCCTAATCTACATGCCTCTGGTGACAGAGGCATGTAGTCTAGACGTACCCTTTGAAATTGACTCAAAATAAGCCATGCAATTTGTGTAGCTCAAATTGTTTAGCTTATTTTCAGCTCCTGGTGCAGTGTATATGCACCCTAACAGTAAAGCTATGTCTACACTGGCACCCTTTTCCAGAAATGCTTAAAACGGAACAGTTTTCCGTTATAAGTATTTCCGGAAAAAGCGCGTCTACATTGGTAGGATGCTTTTCCGGAAAAGCACTTTTTCCAGAAAAGCGTCCGTGGCCAATGTAGAAGTGTTTTTCTGGAAAAAAGCCCCGATCGTCATTTTCGCAATCAGGGCTTTTTTGCGGAAAAGACTACTGTGCTGTCTACACTGGCCCTTTTCCGGAACAGTTTTTCCGGAAAAGGACTTTTGCCCGACTTTTTTTCTGGAAAAACACTGACAATTTTACAGTAGATCGTCATTGCTTTTCCGGAAAAGCAAGTGGCCAGTGTAGACAGCTGGCAAGTTATTCCAGAAAAGTGGCTGCTTTTCCAGAATAAGTGGCCCAGTGTAGACACAGCCTAAGAGAGTACTATGCGGCTCATGAGTTGCAGTTTGGCCACGCCTGGCATGGTGACTTTAAATACAGCAGATGAATTGGGAAAAGTTTAGGGAACCTGGCCTCTCAAAATAAAGGTAAAATTGCTGTTAAGATTTCGCTCGGCTTCACTTTATTTGTGATCAGATATTGTTTCTGAATGGCAAATTCTCCTCTCGACACATTTCTCAGTTGGAGAAGCTACTGGGTTTGCTCTGCTATTATAAAAAAGAAGCAATAAAATAGTTGCACATAATTGATATATGTTCTGGCAACAAAATACATTCAAAACATTCTTCTGCATAATAACTAGGTTGCCATATTTACTCTTTTTTATTATTATTTCATTCTCCCAGCAGTATATATTTTGTGTCACTATTTTTCTTCCCTCATATTTCATTCAACTATCTTTTAGTGCTGATAAGGCTGATGATGAAGATGACGAAGATCTAACAGTGAACAAAACGTGGGTACTTGCACCAAAGATTCATGGTGGAGATGTCACTCACATATTGGACTCCTTACTTCAAGGCTATGACAGTAAACTTCGGCCTGACATTGGAGGTAAAATAATCTCACCTTATAGTAAATACAAAATATGAACCAGAGAATGCAGACATTCTATAGACTTTAATGAAATGTTGGCAAGTAGCTATTTGTTGTCAAGTCAACTGTTCATGTTATAATCAGAGCTAGATAAATGGAATATAAATAAAATGGAACATGTGAAAATAACTTTCTACTTTTTATGGCAAGCACAATAGAAACTGTATACTGTATATGTTTTTGTACTATGTAAACTATTTAATATTTGAAGCAATATCAGATGGATAACATCAGCAATTCCTTGTTTGTTTCATTTTGATATTTTAAATATGATACCGCCGATGAGAAGGTATTCCACATATAGAACTGTCAAAATCTACTCTGAAATCTTCAAATATTTATTAAAATGTTTCTACCTGGTATTCTTAACCCTGCTAGAGACAATACATTGCAGTCTGTTTCACTGTTTCATGAACAGGTTTAGTTAAACTCATTGCTTATTTGTTATTGCTTTTTTGTATCTAATTATGGTGAACAGCAACACCAGGATGCAGAATATATTGGAAAGACAGAATGTGCTGATGGGGGAGTGAAAAGAAAGTGTTGAATCAAATGAAATACAAATCTTAAATGAACCAAACTATACTATAGAATCTCTATGGATTGTAACTGCATACTTGAATAATAAGAATATTGCAGGAGGGATTTACTATTGACCACCTGGCCAGGATGGTGACAATGACTGTGAAATGCTCAGGGAGATTAGAGAGGCTATACAAATAAAAAAACTCAATAATAATGAAGATTTCATCTGGCTACATGTCATCTCAGGACGGGATGCAGAGATAAAGTTTCTTGATGCTTTAAGTGACTGCTTCTTGGAGAAGCCAGTTCTGGAATCCACAAGAGAAGCAGCAATTCTAGACTTATTGCTAAATGGAACACAGGATCTGATCCAAGAGCTGAATATAGCTGGACTGCTTACTTCAGAAAAGAAAACTAGATAAAAATAAGGAAGTTAATTAAATTATATCTTCTTATCAGAAATTAAAAAGGTAAAGTGCTAAATGTGAAATCCCACAAGCTGTATGGAGATTTTTTTAAAACATCATAATAAAGATTCAACTTACATTTATATTATAATACAAGCACAAAAAGTGCCTCTGTGGCTAAATGACTAAGTAAAAGTTAGTGAGAAACAAAAAAGTATCCTTTAAAAAGTGGAATTTAAATCCTAGTGAGGAAAATAGAAAGCAACATAGAATCTGGCAAGTGTAGTATAAAAGTCATAATTAGGCTACAAAAGAATTTGATGAACAGCTAACTGAAGACCCTAAAACTAATAGTGTTTTGTTTAAGTCCATCAGAACATCTCACTAACGGCTTTTACGCAAAGTAAGTATTCATGGGATAAGAGGGAGCTGATTAATGAATCAGTAGCTGATTAAAAAAGAGTAAACAAAGGATAGTAATAAATGGTCTGTTTTCACAGTGGAGAGGGGTACACAGTGGTGTCTGCCAGGGTTCTGTACTGGATCTCGTATTATTCATCATATGCATAAATGTTCTGGGAAAATGGGTAACAGTGAGGTGGTAAAGTTTGCAGATGATACAAAACTACTCATGTTAAGTCCAAAGCAGACTGCAAAGAGATCTCACAAAACAAAATGCCAGATGAAATTCAATGTTGATTAGTAATACACATTGTAAAACATAATCCAAATTATACATATAGAATGAAGGGGGCTAAATTAGCTGTTACTGTTCAAGAAAGAGATCTTGGAGTTATGGATAGTCCTCTTAAAATATCCACTCAGTGTTCAGCTGCAGTCAAAAAGGCAAACAGAATGTCAGGAATCATTAGAAGGAAATGGCTAATAAGACAGAGGTATCACATTGCCTCTTTATAAATCTATGGTGTACCCACGTCTTGAATACTATGTGCACATATAGTTGCCTCATCTCAAAAAAGGTACATTGGAACTGCAAAAGCTTCAGAAAGGAGCAACAGATATGATGAGGTTATGGAACAGCTTATGTATGAGGAGAGATTAATAAGACTGGGACTTCTCATTTTGGAAAAGAGATGACTAAAGAGGGTATGTCTGAAGTCTGTAAAATCATGACTGGTGCAGAGAAAGTAAATAGGGAAGTGTTGTTTACTGCTTCTCATAACACCAGAATTAGGGGGGTACTAAATGAAAGTAATATGCATCAGATTTAAAACCAACAAAAGGAAGTAGTTCCTCACACAACACATAGTCAACCTGTGGAACTCTTTGTCAGAGGATGTTGTAAAGGTCAAAACTGTACCACGGTTCAAAGAAGAGCTAGAAAAATTCCTGGAGGAAAGGTCCATCAATGGCTATTAGTCAGGATGATGTCCCTATTCTCTCTGTTGTCCAGAAGCTGGGAATGGGTAACAGGGAATGGATCACTTAATGGTTATTTGTTCTGTTAATTCCCTCTGGGGTACCTCGTATTGGCCACTGTAAGAGGAGAGGATAATGGGTTAGATGGATCTTGGTCTGACCCAGTATTGCTGTTTTGATGTTCTTAGGGATCAGGGCTTCAAGACATTATATAGACACACAGGAAGAGGTGGCCTTCCCCTGAAGAGTTTACAGTCCAAATCAGTGATTTTCAATTATTTCCATTTGTGCATCTGTAACAAACATACAGGTTGAACCTCTCTAGTCTGGCACCCTTAGGCCTGATTGGTGCCGACCCAGAGAATTTGGGGTGTCGATATTGTCTAGCAGAATTACCATCATACTTACTGGGCTCCTAGAAAACATTTAGGGGTAAATTAGAGCTAAATAATAGCACAGAACCCTGAGAACCAGAACCGGTGGCTATAAACAAACTTTATGGAACCACAGGAAACTTGGCCACATCCATGATAAATGAACATCCAGCTAACTAAAATCAAGGTGAACATGGATGTTGCTGGACCAGACAGTGTTGGATTACAGAGGTTCAACCTGTATTTCAAATGGGGATGCAGAAACCTTTGGAAATCTTAGACATAATGTGTGCCCCCTACTCCCCAAGGGGGTCTCTGGATCACAAATTGAACACGGCTGGCCTAAATAAAGGAAACTAAGTCTGAAAGGGAAACGGAGGCACCAAAATGTAAAATGACTTGTCCAAGGATATGGGTAGGGCCAGGATTACAACCTAGGTTTCCAGTCTCCCACACCAGTGCCCTATTCATTAGCCCACATTACCTTTCTGTTACTGAGAGTCTGTTGTCTTTGAATAAAACATAGATTATTACACTCCCTTCTCTGTTACTCTTCTCCAAAGGCAGGTAAATTTTTAGCCCTTTGCTTCCCTGGCCTAAACACTTGGTCCATTCAAAGAAATGCATACTACATAGTCATATCCCACTCTGCTACTTGTTGAAAGTAGACATTTAATAGAGAAAGAAACACAACCAGTCAATAATGCACTCATTCTATACTCCAATTATGTTGATAAAATCTTGTGTTGATTTCAACATCTGAAGACTGGCAGAACAAGATAACTTGACTGGGAATATCCTTAACTTTCAAGTAATGATATCCCACAGAAGAATTTTGGGTATTAAATTAATTTGGTTCATTTATAGCAGCAACATTTTTCTCTCTGAGCCTGGCACTCATGGGTTCAAATGCCAGAGTAGGATTTGGTTTCTTCCTGTTAAGAGCATTTCAGTTTGTAAGAACAAAGGGGAAAGCTGTGCTGTTAAAAACAGTGTCTGTTTTATGAGACACTGTTTCTTTTTCTGCCTGTTTCTGTTGATTGTCCATATGAAAGCTGAGAATTATGTCAATTTTGAAATGTAACAAGAGAAAACACCATTGTGTAGCAAAGTCATTTTCTGTACTTATCATTCCAATATTCATGAGCTTTGCTGACTACGTAAGAGCCACCTTGTTTGCTTACGTTCATATTACAGGTTGCACCTCACTGGTCCGACACCCTTGGGACTTGACAGTTCCTGGGTGAGGGATTTTGCTGGACTAGGGAAGGCCATTTTTGGACCCCTGCCACCGGTCTCCCTGGCCTGGCCGCTGGTCTCTGTCAGCTCCCCACCTCCTACTGGCCCTACTGCCCTGCCGACCTGCTGGGCAGCCATCACTGCTATGGCTCCACTGGACAGCCTGGCACTGGAGCTCCAGGTAGCCGCGTGCACTACACCATGGGGCTATGGGCAGCCATGCATGCCAGGGCTCCAGTCCCATGCATCACATGCCGGGGCTCCCTGGGTAGCTGCACACACACAAGGTGGTGGGGCTCCCAGCCCCTCTGGGCAGTCACACTCAAGTCTCCTAAACCCACTGGGCAGCCCAGCTATCCCACAGGGATCCTTACTGCTGGCCTTCCAATGGGACTCTCATCATTCAACATCCATGCTGGACCATGGATGTTGCCAGACCACGGAATCCCAGTTAAGAGAGTTTCAACCTATAATAATGCTTTTAAAAAAAATATTTCTATAGCTGAGTCCTGACCTTTCTAACTTACAAATTTCCATTCTATAAGGGAAAGGCTACTGTATATCCTCTAACACCTATACAACGGAACACCTTTATTAAGATAGCCTTCTTCCCATTACTGCTTCAGATTGTCACAAAACATACCAGGCAAAAGTAAGTTTTCCAGTGCAAAACACAGATTCATCTTGATCATTGTTTCATTGTGATTACATTACAATTGAGTTGTTTCACTATGATTCTGTGCAAAGTGATCAAATGCCAATCTTACGTTATGACTACCCCTTCTGTGTTTGATAAAAGGATCACTTTTATTCTTATTTGAATAAATAGCATTAATTACATTAACAACAGACAGTATTTAGAATTGATTACTTATGTGATTATTATGGTTACTCTTTTTCTTTAGTGAGAACTACAGTAATTGAAACAGATGTCTATGTTAACAGCATTGGCCCAGTTGATCCAATCAATATGGTAAGTCCTGACTGACTGAAAATATATTCCCTTAAATATTTGTGGGATAAATATGTAATGCCACCACCTCTATTCAAATTATTGCCTTTAACTACTCTGACTTTCATTCAATTATAATGTGAACCTGTAGTGTTTAAAAAAAACATATTATTAAGTTGAATTATGAGGCCATTATTGCAGACACTGGAGATGCTCTGTACTTTCCTTAATTTTTAAAATACTTTGAGAATAGTGTTTCGTAGTAAAATCCATCTCAGAAAGGTAATTAAAAAAAATCACGCTATTAAATATAATGACCAGCTTTTCACCTGAGACAAATCAGGCTAGTTTCTGAAAGTCAGTAGCGTGTACTGATTTAGACAAGGAGGGAATGTTGGACCGCAAGGGATGGAGGGGGTGCTCGTCCAGGAAGGAGGACAGTGCTGCCATGAGGTGCTTCCCATTCCGTTCTGTGCACGCTCTCCTTTCCTGACACTCAGCGTGTATCTCCTCCAGCAGCATATTCCTCCACTTATATACACGCTCCCTGTCCAAGTTGGTGGATTGCAATTGCCGCTTGTACATCTCTTCCCTAGTCCATTTTCGCCTTCAGATTTCTGCCAGGTGGGAGCACACAGGAAGCTGACTGCTGTTCTTGCTGTAATGAAAAGTGTAGAGCAGACTTTACAAGAAATACATTGTAGTGTGTAAAGCCTTTTCTGTTAGAACAAAATGAAGGTCTCTTTAAAGACAATAGGGATATATTATGTACAAGGTCATAGTTATGCAGTCACTTTGCAGTAGGTACACCTTAGAGTTCTTAAGGGAGTAGCTGGACTCAGTTCGGTAGCAAGTATGCTAAGGGACAGGCTGGGGCATGAGCCTACAGGCAAGAGGGGAAGGGAATTTGTTTATGATGGCAGGGCGGGGCAGAAGCTCACTCAGTGCCCATGTGTTTGGCACCCCCTAGTTGCCAAGAGAATGCAACTTTCTCCTCCTATGGGATCATGAGGGCAGGAGAGGGGAGAAGGTCCTGGTGTGGCAAGAGGGCAGGGCCAGGTTCAAGCCATGCTTTATTGGGGGTGAGCAAATGGAGGTTTACTGCAGAGACATCAGCTAATAGTTTCCCCTGCTTCATCCAGGATTCTGTGTGAGAGATTGGTCTTCTATGAATCACACAGTGATAGGGAGCAGGTGCTGACTGAATGTGTCCAGAAACCTGGAGTTTACACTGCAGTTCTTTGTGCTGCAGCGATGCCAGAACAATTACTGCTGGCTTGATGTGGAAAAGTGTTCTACTGTGGAGGATGGAATAAGGCAGCCTTGTGAGAAGGATTAAAGAGTTCCTGTATGAAAGCTTTATGCAGATGTGCAGGGAGGATTTCCACTGCATTTCCAGACATGTTAAAAAGCTGTTCTGGGGATTCCCCACCCCACATTTAGGCACAGTGGCCACCAAAAATCACACCCAACTGCCTTATCTCACTTTTAGCAAGATTAAAAATGTGAACTCACCAGAAGTGCCCTCCCTGGGATCAGAGCCTGACTGTGAGGCTTCCTGGGAGGAGGGATTATTTCCAAAGTTATAAAAAGTTCTTGGCTTTCAGTGACAATAGTTGCCCCAGGCATCTGCTGAGCATTCTCCTTCTCGTCCTCTACCGTGCAGTCCTCCACACCACTGCCTGAGGCTGCTAAGTGTCTTGAGAGGAATCCACAGACTGGTTAGAGAATCGCATGCAGCTGCTCATAGAAGCAGCATGTTTGCAACGATGCTCCAGACCATCCATTTGCCTCCTTTGTCTTTTGATATGACTGCCTCAGTTCCTATATTTTCACAGGTCCCTGCTTGGTGTCCCTGATAGACCCTTTCTCCTCCATTCCCCTTGTGATCTTGGCTTAGATATCTGCATTTCTTTTGTTGGTTTGTAGTTCTTTAAGAACAGATAACTCTCCCTACATAGCAATGTGGTTCAGAACCATCTGCTCACTCCATGCTGGTGCTCAGCTGTGACCCTGGGTTCATGGAATTTGAACTCATGGTCAGGTGTGTTACATGCTTTGAGATCTGCTCACCATGCTGGCCACACAGGAACTGAAATTTAGTTTTTCCCAGGGCTTTTCCTGTTCACCTGGAGATCAGTAGAGTTGAAAGTTGTAGCCAAACTGGTCATCGCAGGGCACAGTGGGACACCTCCCAGAGGCCAAGAATGTCTACTTTTATAGTGCTGCATCTGCACTGCCGGAAAGTCAACTATGTAAGATCAAATTTAGTGGTTACTCCTCGTGAAAGGAGTACAGAAATAGACTTAAACAGCCCTTTAAATCAACAGACTCGTTGTTTGGAAAATCCACCTAATGTGGCTAAACTCAATTTAAACTCTCAGGCTGTGTCTACATTGGCACCCTTTTCCGGAAAAGGGATGCTAATGAGACAAGTCGGAATTGCAAATGCCGCGGGGGATTTAAATATCCCCCGCGGCATTTGCAATTCCGACTTGTCTCATTAGCATCCCTTTTCCGGAAAAGGGATGCTAATGAGACAAGTCGGAATTGCAAATGCCGCGGGGGATTTAAATACCCCCGGCGGCATTTGCATGAACATGGCTGCCGCTTTTTTCCGGCTCGGGGCTTTGCCGGAGAAAAGTGCCAGTCTAGACGGGATCTTTCGGAAAATAAAGCCTTTTCTGGAAGATCCCTTATTCCTGATTTTGAGAGGAATAAGGGATCTTCCAGAAAAGGCTTTATTTTCTGAAAGATCCTGTCTAGACTGGCGCTTTTCTCCAGCAAAGCCCCGAGCCGGAAAAAAGCGGCAGCCATGTTCATGCAAATGCCGCGGGGGATTTAAATATCCCCCGCGGCATTTGCAATTCCGACTTGTCTCATTGGCACCCTTTTCCGGAAAAGAGATGCTAATGTATACACAGCCTCAGTGTATACCAGATCTAAGTTGAATAAAGTGCTAGTTGCTGGAGTAAGGGTATCTCAGTTTGCCCTTGAAGAAATCACCTGTGTTAATATTGTATCTTTTCTATATTGAGCCCCACTTTTGATCTTCTTACTTGCTTTATTGAGTATCTAGAGCACTCTCACTGAACTCAAAGCAACTGTTCATGTGAGTAACTGCCAGTCAGTTTAGAGGTAGGTGGGGAGAATGTTATAATTTGGCGCATGTCAACTATACCTCAGTTATTTATCTACTATGTGTTTTAGAGTGTCTGTTTGTTCAAGAACTCCTCCTAGATAGTAAAAGCTAGGACCACCAAATGTGGTATAAAGCTTCCTCTTACCATAATGTAAAGCAGTGATGAGGCTCAGGGCTTGCTCTAGCATTGGGGAGCCTGTGCGGTGCTCCAGGCCCCCTGGTATCCTACTGCAGGGCTGGTGCACACAAAATTTACTAGGCTGGGGCCCCCCAGGCTCTGGTGTGAGAGGGGAAGGTGAGGAGTGTCAGTTGGGGGCTACATTAGTGAGGAGTTTTTTTTCAGTTGGATTTTTTGCTTCTCGCTCATGTGTGGCCCTGAATGAGTTTTCTGTGGGTCAGTGGCCCCTGACCCAAAAAAGGTTCCCCACCTCCGATTTAAGGCAACATAACGGTTTTGTTGTGCCAGGAAAACAGGATGTGCCTGGAATGGGATTGCTTCTCATAAAACCAAAAGAAAATGGACAGAACCATCAAAGCAAGGGCAATTCTCAGAACTTGCATACTAATTAGTCCAGAATAGAATACTGGTTGCTATAACTTTGGAAAAAAAGACAATAAGATTGTCAAATATGACACACAAGTACATCATGGAAATTTATTGCTAGCTTTATTTTCTCTCATGAAGCCAGTTTTATTGATCAGCCATAAGTCTTTCCCTTTTGGGTTTCTCATACGCATAACATAAATATATAATTCAATCAAATTCTTACATCCTCAGTGAAATAGAGAAAAACACTTCAAAAATGAGCAATTCTAATAAAAAGGGAAAATAAGTTATCACAAAGTATAAAACTGGGGAAATGCAAAGGACTGCATTAGCACCTGACAGTAGGTAAAAGGGTAGCACTATTTCACAAGTATGTAATCCATATTTGCTCAGTGGTACTCTGTCACCCTCTAATGGTCGCTGAGGTTTATAAGCCTGTGCTACTCTTATGTAAAGAAAGGTAGCTCTTTCAGTGCAGACAGTAGAGGCTCACTTTTTCAGGTCCAAAGATTGCAGTGGTGGGGAACTTTTTTTTGAGTCGGGGACCACTGACTTACAGAAAAGTAGGGGGCCCCAAGCTAGTAGATTTTGTGCACTCCAGCCCCCCGGATATCCAATGCTAGGGGGAAGTTCTGAGCCTCTGGGTCCAGGTCCAAGGTTCCCCAACCCTGCTGTAATGCCTCTCATGTTTTATCTGATATATATTAAATAAAATATAACAATCTTGATTTTTTCAAGCTATTACTACCTTTTACTTGTTATTTGCCACAGTTTTTCTTTCATACCCCCTTTCTCTCTTTCCTTTTAGCCTAAAACCAATAAAATGCTTATTTCTCCATTCTCCTCTTTATTCAAATAGCTCATTCATCATCACTCCATAAGCCGGGTCTTGGCTCCGGAGCCAAGCTGATTTCAATGTGAAGGAAGACTCTCATGTGCTTTGTTGAAGACAGCACTCCACTCTGTACTCTAAGAGGATTTGGAGGGTTTTTGTCAGCCTCTGCTATGCAGCGAGTGGCAGACTTCACTTCTGTTTGCCACTGATCTTTGACTGGTGGCAACAGGGAGCTGCTGCTGGTAAAAGTTTTGAAACAAAGGCCAGGCTTACACTAAAAGGGAAGGTCAAATTAGGATACACAACTCCAGCTATGTTAATTATGTAGCTGGAATCAACATACCTTAATTTGAGTTTTCCCCGCTGACCCGACAGTGGGATGTCGATGGGAGCAAACACTCCCATTGGTTTATCTTACTCATCTCAGGAGCACTGGCCACTGACAATGGCACCCTCTGAATTTGATTTAGTAGGTCTTTACTAGACCACTAAATGAA